TATCTATCTATCTATCTATCTATCTATCTATCTATCTATCTATCTATCTATCTATCTATCTATCTAAACTATGGATTCCTGGAACAAACTGAGGCTTTTATGCCTCTCCGTTCTTTCTGTGGAGGACATTGAAGGCCTGGAGTCCAGATGGAGTCAGACAGGAGGACCAATGGGAGAAGATGGCATCACTTTGTGCATTTAATAATCAATTTTGGGGGATTTATTTGAGGGGGTACGACATTTATCTGAGGGGATAATTCCCTGATCAGGTTGAGTTAACGGCATTGTTCCTGCTTAAGGCAGCGCCTTTGGGGCAGCTGTGAACTGTCCCCTTCTTTTCTGGACTTGCAGGTGTGGGACCAGTCGTCGGTGTGAAGCGCTGCTCGTGACCCCGCGCGAAGGAGACCTCCCTCAATCCACCCTGAGAGCAAGCACACAACCCCCCACAGCCCTGCCCCTGCTGCTGGGGCAGGGCGCCCCTGTACATAGAGCCCCGCTCCTCCACCGGCCCCTGGGCCTCCGGGCCCCCGCGGGTTCGATCCCCCGGGCCCGCAGAGGAAGGGAGCCTCGTTTCTAACCGCCGCTCCTCGTTGTACATATCGCCGTCTGAGTTTTTTATAGATAAAGGGAAGAACCGGCTGGCGAAGCCATGTCTATTTTTTTTAAAAACCGAGTTTCTAAAGACGTCGCAGGGAGAAAAAAAAAATGAAGCCGTCGGTTCGGAAACACCCGCTCAGCCTTTGGCCGAAAAAGGTCTTTGAAGCGCTCACGTGAGGAGAGAGAGGGCTTTTGGGGGCATTCCTGGGCACGCGAGCGTTGCAGACTTGTTCTCGTTGCGCGACCAGCTGACTAAATAGCCTTTCCGTACATCGCTGCTTTGTTGACAGTCCGGACGCTTCGTCGTGTTTGTCGCTCCGCTCCGACGCCGGACGACCCCGCCCGCCGCCGCCGCCGCTTGCTCCCGGTCCGCCCAAGTACATCCCGCTGCATCCTGCGGGAAGGCGGGGCTTGATGTCAAGCCCCGCCCATATCAAGTCCCGCCCACATCAGGGACACAACCTATATATTTTTTTAACGATAAAAAAAAAACTTTATTTTCGATGTTAAATTGTACCTCCGCCTCATGACCGGAACTGTTTTGCAGTTACGGTTGACACCACACCACTGCAACCGATATATATCTATAGTTTTTAACGATAAAAAACAAACATTTTTTTCGATGCTAAATTGTACCTGCCCCAAGCTTCACCAAAATCTAACAAAAAACATTTTTTTCCATGTTAAATTACTAAATTGACAACACACCACCGCAACGATGTGAGGAGAAAAGTCCTGGACCATCTCCAGGTCCTGGTCCTGGCCTTGGCCTTGGTCCTGGTCCTGGTCCTGGCCCTGGCCTTGGTCCTGGTCCTGGCCCTGGTCCTGGACCTTCTCCAGGTCCTGGCCCTGGTCCTGGTCCAGGCCCTGGCCCTGGTCCTGGTCCTGGTCCTGGTCCTGGTCCTGGTCCTTCTCCAGGTCCTGGTCCTTCTCCAGGTCCTGGTCCTGGTCCAGGTCCTGGTCCTTTTCCAGGTCCTGGTCCTTCTCCAGGTCCTGGTCCTGGTCCTGGTCCCGGTCCTGGACCTGGCCTTGGTCCTGGTCCAGGTCCAGGTCCTGGTCCTGCCCCCCCCCC